GCTAAAGTATGAACCTCAGTAGTTCCCCACTTAAACTCACAAATAAAACTACTCTGAATAATACTTATACAAAACGGCTCAAGAAAAAATACAAAAAGCAATGGCGAAAATGAACTCGCTAACACACTTGTTTACAACATGACTAGTGGCGCAGATTTGATACGGCAGACGAACACCATCACCCAAAACAAATCACAGGTTAACATGTTCTATTTTTTAAAAAAAATAATAGAAAAAAATTGTGACACACGGTCGAACGCTTTTTCCAGGTCGACCTGTAACCAGGCAACTCTTCGCACAAAAGAGTCACAACATTCCAGAATGCTCAGGACGACATGCACATATGTTGCAATACTCTTCGCTTTAATTCCACACGTCTGGTGTGCGCCGATAACAAAGTGTATAACGCTCTGCTAACGCTCCGAAAAAAACAAAACATACATAGGTACCTTATAGTCTTCGTTTGTTAGTGTAATCGGACGGTACGATACCACAATACACTTTTGAGAGGACCTCACTTTTGAGTATAAAAATTGTCTGAGTGTACAAAAAACGACCGGGCTAGAACCTTAAAACGGCACATTACACTGACCAAGACACTCCTTTGCTGCAGTGTAATCTCAAGGACAAAGGGGAGAATTTTCTTTCAATCTCTCCTTGTCAAAGGTTGACGATGTAGATGGGGGGTTGCAGTACCCCCAGTGACAATATTAGGGGCGAAGCTCCTTAGGGTCTAGCCTTGTCCGGCGCCCGTGCTCACATCGATTGCACTGCCTCCGGAATCGGCCCACCTAAAAAAAACAAACCCGTACGCTTGCACGGGCGGTCGAACTCAGGACCGCTTGCTGACGAGGCAGACCTCTTAACCACTACGCTACACTCCAACATTGCAGGTATCCGCTCAACGTCTATACAGGAGAGGGCACCGCGGTCGAGTGCGAATATAATCGCGTTAAACTTTGCATGCATTGGCTCAACGTTTATAAACGAGAGGGCGCTTCGGTCAAATGCTCAAATGCGTATATAACCACGATCCATACCACACATTCTCTTTCTGATATGGACCGTTGACTTAAGGGGTGGAGATCCGTTCCCGCGGCTTCTAGCGGATCCAAGCTGATCCGCTAGAAGAACCACTGGCTCTGCATTTCACCGACCATAAAGCAGTAATAATGAAGTCAAAACGCAGCCCGAAACTCTGCACTTCCTATGACCAATAAAAAAAATCCGCACCATCAGCACTACCTATGAACAATAAAATAAGTATCATCAGTACCACCAGAGCTTTGCCGCAATCAACATCGTTCACCATGTAGAGGTACGTCCATTTTTGTTAATGCTAATGTTGATGTTTGTTAATTGTACTCGAAAATTGCGTGAACATTCGATTCGGGCTCGTGACAATCGCTCGAGGGCATTCGGGTAGTGGCCCGTGTCCAATCGCTGCAATGAAGACCAGTCGAACCATATTAATGTCGAACTCAGCCCGTGTCCTGAGTTTTGCCAACGTTCGCTCGTGGCTATAGTCAAATGTAATCGGCTCCAGATCATGTGACCGCTTGTTCGGGCTGCGAGTTGAGGGGTTGAATGCTGCACGTGTTTCTTTATTTATCTTCTCCCATCATTTTTGTTTGTGGTGAAAAGTGGACGCGTGTTTCATAAGCCATTAGTTCAGGGTCTCGTTCTAAGCGGTATTTGGCAAAGTACAAACATTTATGCATTGCCCCTTTGAATCTGTATGCTTCAAAGGGCAAGCCTCACCCACGAGCGTAGGCTTTCTCGTGCCTTCCATTTTTGGCGATTACACACAGCAAATGAAGTCATTGGTTGTGGTACTCAACTTACACGTCCACAATTCCTTTCGTGGGGACATGCGTGCCATTGTAAGTTATAAGTTTGACACTTGGATTTTGGAAGCTGGGAGAGAAACCTGCCGTGTGCGGTGTCGGCACTTTTTTTTGTGTTTACTTTAGCCAATTCCATGGCTGATGCGATGCTGCAGGCGCAGTCCCATGTGACTTCCGCGTCGGGCGTCGCCAGAAGGCGACACCGTATGCTGTCGGCGTGCAGATCACCAATAAGTCGGTCGCGTAGAGCTTCTTTAAGGAAAGCGCAGTACTCACACGTCGCTGATAGTTTCTTGAGTTCGACCACCTAATGCGTCACGGTCCCGAGCGGCTCGTGTTTTTTTTCGTTGATAAAAGCGGTATTGTTCAGTGACCAACGAGCGTTTGGCCGCGTAGTGTTTTGTACGGCTTCGTTGAAAGGTACACTAACGTCCTCGTGGAACAATACATGCGGTCGCCTTTGACAGCAGCAGGTTCCGGAGGGTGACATATGCTTTCTCACCAATCGCCGTCAGGAGGACATAAAGCTTCATGTCCGCTGCAATGTCGTTGGCAGAAGCGAACAGCTCGAAACGTTCGAGGTACACATTGAAGTTACCGCTGTCGGCCTGAATCTTAGAGATCTTCCCGACGGTTGCGGTTACCTTTTGTTTTGGGGTCGCATCAGGCATTCTTGTCACCAGATGTCATGTCCGAGCGCAGTTCCAATTTAGGAGACGACATCCTTTATTGAAAAATGCCAACAGGCAGCCGCCAACTCTGAACACGACACGAACGAAACGCGGGGAACACCGTCTATGCATTACTCTAGTATTTAATTAATTGATTTATTTATTGATTTATAAATACTGCTAACTTCCTTTTGTATGTTGTGGCTGGAGGTTCCGGTATATTTTACTGCACAAGAACTCATAAAAAAGTAATGATATGCTGTTAATACAAAATAATAATAAAGAAATGCAACCAACTATAAAACCAAAAGGTCAACTTTTTCCGGACAGCCTTCCAATGTCAAAAAGAATCGACTGAAGACCAGTTTACCCGAACTCGAAAAGGCTGCTCCACTCTTTCATTGTTCGTAAAAAAAAAAAAGTAAATTGAAAAGGGTCAGTACGACATAGATACGGAACCAGCGCCCTAATGTGCAAGCTTCGCGTAGCTCGGACCAGTCCTGGTGTTAAATACCCTGAAGCATTAATTTCAAAATCGCCATTCAGTAGCGTATATAAAAACTTGAGCCTCGGTGTACGGCGCCTTGAGGATACGACCTATAGTTCGGCTTTCCCGTACAGTGACGTCGAAGATTCGTTTCGTTTGAATTTATTGTAAATTAATCGCAATGCATATTTCTGTACTCTTTCTTAGTTGTCGATATTTACAGACATGTGAGGATCCCACACCCGGAAGGCATATTCGAGAGCAGGTCGAATTAGGGTTTTGTAAGGAGTGGTTTTTGTATCGAACGAAGTATTCTTAAGATTGCGTTTCAGGTACCAAAATTTACCGTCAGTCTTCTGAACAACAGAATGGACGTTTACATTCCAATTCTGATCAGAAGAAGAGTGCACTTCAAGTTATTTGTACGTTGTAACAATTTCTAGAAGCTTGTTATTATCAAGGCACTGAGAACTAATTGGGAAATGTTTCCTAGAAAACGCCGTCTGCGTTCATTTTCCTATATTAAGAAGCAGTTGCCAAGTTGTAAGCCATTCGGACAACATTTCTGGTGGAAGGTGAGTTAACTGTTGACCATGGTATTTTCCACTTCGCTGAATAAATACAGTCATCAGCATAAATGTTCATATCTACACACAAAAAAGTATGAACATTTTTGATATACAAAAAAAAATAACAGCGGTCCCAAAACAGAGCCCTTGGGAACACCCGACAAAATATCAGCTGAAACAGATGAAGCACCGCCCTGCGAAACAAAACAATGACGAGCAGCTAAGTAATCTTCAAGCAAAGAGGTTATGTCTCGATTATTTAAGATACGTCGAAGTTTTAACAATAGCTTAGCATGAGAAACGCAATCGAACGCTCTTGAGTGATCGATAAATATAATGTCGACTTATTCCTGCCGGTCCAGAGGTTTAGCGATATCATGCGTCATTTCAATCAGTTTGATTGTTCTGGAAAGCCCATGCTGCATACTATTTTGGCCACGTCAAAAAAAAAAAACAATTGGTTTCTAGGAAAACAAATGCGCGCTTGAACACGATATGCTCCAAATCTCAGCGCATGACGATACTAAAGACATGTGCCTATAATTGTTCAATGATAAGGGATCCCCCTATTCGTAAACTGGAATGAGTTTTGCGAACTTCCACTGCAGTGGAAAAACAGCCTCTGATAACGACCAGGAGAAGGAAACTAAAAGTTACATTCAGCATGCAGTTTTAAAAATGTTTTAGGAAGGCCATCAGGCCCCTGCGAATATTTGTTATGAAAGTTTACTAATACGAAAAAGGCCCTTAACGAAAACCTTAATGTCAGGAATGCTCATCGTCAACCAGCGGAGCAACAGGACAGTCACCATTATTCTCCATAAAAACGAACCAAAAGAGTAACTGAAACACAATGCCATTACCGAACAGTCAGAGATAATATCGTTTTTTGCTTTAAGCCTCCTGATCTGACAACATTAAGGTGATAAGTGTCTCCATAATGTTAGATGGATCCGACTTAAAAAAAAAAAAAAAAAAACATTTGAAGGGTGGAGTTGTACTACAGTAACTTCGCTTCGTGCACCTGCGTCCGAAAGTCTGCGTTCAGCTGCTCCGGATTAAGCCGACTGTTTCTAGCACTTGAATTCCTAGTTCGTGAGATTTTTCGCTTTAAAAAATTATATCTCTATTAATCCAAGGGTTATGCTTGTTATAACGCTTTTTTTACATTAGCGACCAAGTTACCCAAACATTCCTCAATAGTTACCTCAAATTTACACCACAGTACATCTAGGTTAGCGCCGGGAAGATATAAAGTAGTTGAATTCGTCGTTATGAATCTCAAGCAAATCAAAGACACTTTTCTTGTTCTCCCTGAAAAAGTCGTGAAACCAGATATTTTGCGCTTTGAGTTGTGGGTCGCCTATCAATATCGCCCGATCAGGCCAAGTTCCATTCGCCCCAAGGAAGTCATACGAGGGAGCGCTATCATTAAGCAAGGTTTAATTGATACTCATGTGCTCGGTGTTGTCCGGGTCTTTCCTGGGCTCGCTGAGGTCCGGGTGCTTGCTTGGCTCGTGAAGTCCGGCTCTTTGTAGGCTCCTCGGCACCGTCTGTCCTGTTGGCCCACCGTCCTTCGAACCTCAGCCTCGCACCGACCACGAGCCTCTCCTTTCTTCTTCTTCCCCGCTCTCGGCGCCGCCCTTCCGCGTGCCGTGAGGCTCATTGTTCCCCACACTCCCCTCCCCTCAAGCCTCCAACTCCGGGGGTTCCGAAGCATCCTAAGTCGATGGACCGTCCGCCAAGCACTCTTCCAGCTCGCCCATCTCCGCGTCGCTGGTGGTGGTGGACGCGGATGGTGCCGCAGCCGTTGAACGGGGTGCCGGCACCGGTGGGACTGGTGCGTGTTCGAGGAAGAGGCCGAGTGCCGGGTCTTCGGCGGCGGCTCCGTCGACGAAAGAATCTGGCCCGTCGGTAGCATAAGGGGTCGCTGGACTGTTGGCCAAGTACTCCTCCAGCTCATTCATCTCCGCGTCGCTGGTGTTGGTGGACGCGGATGGGGCCGCAGTTGTCGAACGGGGGGCCGGCACTGGTGGGGCCGGTGTGTGCTTGGGGAAGGGGCCGAGCGCCGGGTTTTCGGCGACGAACCCGTCAACGAGCAGTTGGTCGGGGGCAGGACTCCGGCTTCCAGTAGCTTGGCTGAAGCCGAGAGCCGCCGGAGCTAGAAGGTCTGGCCGATCCCGGCGAAGCAGTTGTACTGCTGCTGCGACGCCGGCGGGGCGGCCCATGTTTTTCAGGAGGTCAGTGTGTCGGCGGCTGGCCTCGTGTGTGTCCTGGTGGACCACCGGGACTTGGCACAGCCAGCAGGCGTCTGGGTGGTCGTCGGGTAGCGAAAAACGGGGCAGCGTATGCCCTCGGAAGGGCTGCGGGATCTGGGCGGGCAGCTGGGAAGGGTTTGGACGGGGCTGGTTCCTCCATCGCACCCTGGACACGAAGTGGACGGCCTCTTGGCCGTCCTGGGCCGTCCAGGTGGCCACGGTGTGGCGAGGTGGCTTGCGCCGAGCTGGTTCTCCAGCCGCCGTCGAAACCGCTTCTCCTCGTGGGGTGGAGTCTCGTCTGCCCGCCTGGTCACTCGAGGCTCTCCGGTGCTCCGCATCTCCGCCGCCCTGCCTCTGTTGATGTGATCGAGGCCAGGGTTGATCACCCCGCCTCTGCCAACCGGGTTGAGCACCCTGTTGGTTGGTCCCCCTTGTTCTTCGCCAACCGGGTTGACCACCCTGTCGGTTGGTCTGGCCGTCCTCCCGCCAACGGGGTTGACCACCCTGTCGGCTGGTGTGGCCGGTCTCCTGCCGAGCGGGTTGGCCACCCGGTCGGCTGGTCTGGCTGGTTCCGCCGGTACCCCGGGAAGTGGAAGGTCGCCCTCCTGGATGGCGCCGCCCATTCTGGTTCCTCCGGGGGGGCATTTCTGGACAGAACAAGCTCTATTAACATCTTGCAGAGATTAGATCAAGTTCTAGGCCGCAGATGATAGCGCCGCGCAGAGCCCCTATCAGATCTCTCACCGACGGGTTCGCGCACTGTTCGCGGTCGTCCGGATTGCAAAACCCATCTCGACAATGCGTTCGTCCCAGTCCCTGTGTCTCTCCGTTAGTGTGATCAGCATGCTCTTCAAGTTTCGGGTCACTCTCTCAGTGATATTAGTCCGAGGGTGGTATGGTGTCGTCCTTTTGTGCTTTATGTTTAGCGCCAAGCAGGAGTCAGTGAACACTCTGCTGGTAAAATAGCTAGCATTATCGCTGATGGGACGCGTGGGTGTACCGAAGCGCATGAAAGTTTCCAACAACTTCTCCCAGATGCGCTCCGAGACCAGCTTCCTCAGCGGGTGTAACTCCACCCATTTTGAGAAATGATCGGTTATTACCAATAAATACTGGTTCCCACGGGGACTTTTTGGAAGTGGGCCGATGATGTCGCAAGCAACCATCTCCCACGGGTAGTGACTCACTACAGGCTGCATCAGGCCTGGGGGCTTTCCCCCTCGCGGCTTCGCTTTCTGGCAGGCTGGGCAGCTACGGGCGTATCGGAGTGTGTCCTGTCTCATCCCCGGCCAGGTCGCGACGCGACATAACTTTTGAAAAGTCTTGCTGCCGCTGCCATGACCAGCCAAAGCCGAGTCGTGGAAGTATCCGATAAACCGCCTCCGTAGCCTCCTAGGAATCACCACCCTGAACGGAGAGTCGTTCCCCTCCTCGTCGTCGATTGTTGGAATGTAGCGGAGCAATAAGCCGTCTTGACCCAGCAAGTATGAATCAATATGTTCGTTAAATTGACCGCCAGCGTTCCCGGTGTTGCTTGCTATTTCCGCAATTTTCCCCAACACCCGCTGACAAAAACCATCTGCCTTTTGGGCCTCGACAAGCTCTTCCTTGCTCACCACTTCACCCCAAGCCACGATCCTCTGTTCCCTCGTGCGGCCTCCTAACACTGCGACGAGCTCCTGTTGCATCGATCCCTTCCCGCTGTCTCGCTTATGAGCGGCCGCGCAGGAAGCTCGTCTCTCGCAATCCCCTGGCTGCGTCTCCTCCTTCCAACCACTATCATGGGGCGCCCGAGAAAGTGCGTCTGCAACCTTGTTGGTGGAGCCCTTTCGGTACTCGACAGTATAGGAGTATCGCTGCAAAGTGAGTGCCCACCGAGCTAACCTCCCCGCCGGCTCTCTCAACCTTTGAATCCAGGTAAGAGCGGCGTGGTCTGTCTGAATGACGAAGGTGGTCCCGTCTAAATACAGGTCGAATTTCTTTAGAGCAAACATGACGGTCAGCCCCTCCTTCTCCGTCACGCTGTAATTGCGTTCTGGCGGTGTAAGGGTTCGGCTGGCGAATGCCACCGGGCGCAGGTGTCCGTCATGTTCTTGCAATAACAAAGCACCGACGCCGAATTAGTGCGTAGTAAATGTTACCACCGATCTCGACGCGCACGTACGGCCCCTTCTCAGATGTAAAACCCTGAGTCCGACATGCCGACGGGGCAAACGCCGACCTGTCGCTGACCGCAACTCCAGCCCCGTTGGCAGACTGATGAGGGGCCTCGGCAGCGGCCGGCAACCGCGAGTCGGGAAGTCCAATTAGTGGCGCCGGCCTCTCCCGTTTCCCTGAGACCCATGGGGGGAGATCTGCCGTCCATGTGTACTGACGCTTGATATGCCCAAGCTGATTGCGTTTATAGCACCTGACCTGTCTCCTGCCATTGTGTGCTGAGCGTCCGCCGCTACCATCACGCGAAGCAGTGTCGCGCCGGGGGTCATTGTAGTTCCCGCGACCCTCGTAATGATTCGCGACTCCGCGGTGGTCGGCTGCGCCGCCTCCCCTAGGGGGATGCGCCCTGGAAGAGCCCGCGTTAGCTGCTCTGCGCCTCTGTTCAAAAGCGAAGGGATCTAAGGAGCGGGGCACAGCAGTTTCGCCACTCCTATGTCCTGTAACGGCCACGTACGGCGTACGTGAGTCGTCGCAAGCTCCCGCGCCTCGTCCTGTCCAGGCGCAACCCGGCTCCAGAGATTCCTCTGCGCGTGGAGGGGGGCGATACGTCAACTCGGCGAGCAAGCTCGCCTGAACGATGCGCGCCTCTCTGGCAAGTGCTTCCAGATCAGCGAAATCACGTCCGCGCAAGTAGGGTTTAAATCTAGGGTGACACTGGCGGATCGCCCTAGCTACCCTCTCCGCGTCTGACGCTGTAGGGTCGGCTCTGGAGTAGAGCTCCTGGAGAGCGCGGACGTATTCTACGAGGCTCTCGTCCGGATGCTGAGTACGGCTGGCTAGCTCATCTCTGATCCGCATCTCATAGTCGGGAGGCAGAAATTCCTCTCTGAATCGTGTCCGGAAATCTGCCATTGAAAGGAACGGCCTCTGCATTCGCCTCCAACGCGCTGCGTCATCCGTCAACGCGATTGGGACGATCTGTATCAGGGCCGTTTCATCCGACGCGCCCAACGCGGCAATGTACGCGTCTAGGTCCTGCAAGAAATCGTGAACCGATGCTGCGTCGGAGTAGCCCGAATAGGTCGGCGTCGGCACGCTCAACCGCGGGCGAGGCACGGGCGTAGGCGCGGGATTCACCACCCCTGGGGCCAAACCCATCTGTCTAGAAAACGTCGCGAACATCGCCGTCATGGCGTGCATTAGTTCGCTGACGTCTCCCGTGTTCACCGCCGGAATTGGGGGTTCTAGCGCTGCCGCAACGCTCGCTTCCCCACTCGTGCCTTCTCCCACGTCCGAGTCAATATCCGCCACTGACTGAGTTGAGGCCTCGGGATGGGCGGCCTTATTCCGTAACCTGGACATGGCGGCAGAATGTTAAACACTGATGTCCAGCGGAGTAACACAAATTCAAATGGGGAAACACAACAAACCTAAATTTAGAAATCGCGATTCGTGGGACTCCCTGGGAGCGAAAAGAAACAACGGCAGACTGATCGGGCCCCACGTTGGAAGCGCCATTTATGTGGGTCGCCTATCAATATCGCCCGATCAGGCCAAGTTCCATTCGCCCCAAGGAAGTCATACGAGGGAGCGCTATCATTAAGCAAGGTTTAATTGATACTCATGTGCTCGGTGTTGTCCGGGTCTTTCCTGGGCTCGCTGAGGTCCGGGTGCTTGCTTGGCTCGTGAAGTCCGGCTCTTTGTAGGCTCCTCGGCACCGTCTGTCCTGTTGGCCCACCGTCCTTCGAACCTCAGCCTCGCACCGACCACGAGCCTCTCCTTTCTTCTTCTTCCCCGCTCTCGGCGCCGCCCTTCCGCGTGCCGTGAGGCTCATTGTTCCCCACAGAGTACAGTTAGGAGTGCAGCGTCAAACTCAGCAAGGATAACCATGGGAGGGTAAATTTCTGCTTGACCCTTACAAGATTGAACATTCTCACTGAGACACAGGAAACTAAAAAAAAAGGTCCAAATATATTTTGTACTGCCTTGTATAGGAGTTGGGCTATTGACTCGTTGTACAAGATTGTGTTCGAAGGTAATTTGATCTAAGGAGTCCTTATGTTGACAGTTGGAAGACAGCGGGTGCATGTTGGGTCAATCAATGTACGGAAGATTCAAGTCCCCTGTCATAATAAAGTGTAAGGCACGACTCGACGCAGCGTTAATGCAAAAAGACTGTTTGTCAAGAAAAGAGAGATCAGCTCCGTCCGGGACGGTGGTATACGGTGCCAATGATTACTGAGCCAGTAAATAAAGTGTTCACCTCCAACCGTATAGCTTCGGAATTAGCATATTTTTCAAGGACAGCATTACTACTTATGTTAACGTAGAACGCAACATCCCCCCTCGGGTGCTTCTGTCTCCCCAATAAATATTTTAGTTATGGGGGGAGGGGGGGGGGTTGCGCCAAGTTTGCCAGCATGTAACAATGTCACCGTAAGAACGACTAGGTCTGGCTTATGTGACAGAAGGAGGTGCTCGACATCTTAATTTTGTTTAGTAAATAACGTCTTGTATTGATGCTCATTATATTTAAGAATGGGAAGGTAGGGGTGGCCTGTCAGTCATAGCCAGCCACGGTTGCCCTCGTGTTGGCTTTTACCCCAAAGTTTCTACTCTCGTCCCAATAAAAAAGATCGCTGTCAATCTAAAGTTCGTCTTTAGCAAGTTTGACTTTTGAGCTGTTTTGTTTACATTCCCTTACGCTTTCCCAAAGTTTATTGCGTTTTTCGAGCACGTCCTGTGAGTAGCAGTGGCTTATCGAAATAGTTGATCCTTCAAGCTTTAGGCAGTTTTTAAAGAATGTCAATTTCTTTAGGGTTGTAAAATTTCATAATAATAAGACGCACAGCTTAATATTTTTGCGTGAACCAAATGGTCGATACGCTTCACCTAAGTTACCGCGATACCTAAACGAGTATGAATGAGGTCCTCGGTAACTTTTTTTATCGAGGAGTGTTTGACTTCCACTCCGCGCCTCAGGTAGGACGAAAATTAACAGATTGTTACGTCAGGTATGGTGCTCGAAGTCATTTATTTTTTTCCTTTGTACGTGTTCTGTTTCTTGTTAGGCATTCATGCTTTTCTCGGCGTTCTGTAACTTCAAGTCATTCGCCTTAGCAAGATTCAGCACTTCTTCCATTCTTGACATCTTGAAAATTATTTCAGCGATTGATGTTTCGGAGCGAGCCTGGTCGGACTTTGTATAGTTAATTTTATGGACTAAAGTTTGAATTAATTGCTTCAGACGTGTTAGAGGCCTAGGTTAGACTGGACTTACCCGCACAGCAACAACCGCGACACCATCCAACACTCAACAAGCATCGCAACCAAACCGGAGGGGCATGGCGAAACAGTGGTGGCCCTATAATTCGGTCTAAAATCACGTTTTGAACGGTCATCGCCAACTTGTGCGGAGCAGGTGCAGACGAACACAGTCAACTTTCCGACGGGGAAGGGGCCCGGTCAGGATGCTGACGACCGATGATGGTGTTCGCCCGATGGTAGTCCCCCGGGAAGTCGAATAAGAAAAAAAAAAAAACTAAAACTGAAAGTTGTTCGATCCCGCTGGACAAATTACGACGTTGTTAGGTTTACGGTGGCCAGTGTGGCCACGCTTATTTGAAAACAAAACGACAGGTCAACGGTAATATACGAAACTTTCAAAATTAAAACCCCATACTTTAGTCCCCAGTCTCAAGAGCCGAATTCCCCGAGAATCCTCTCGGCAGCCCTTTTATAGCCTTGTAGAGGCCTCCTTTCCCTCCAGAGATGGACCGATCACTTCAAATTTCACCACTCCCACGTGGTACACTGTGGTCCAATGGTCGGCGAGCTGTCATCCTGGCGCCGCAACCGCCAAACCTAAATTCCTTGTAGAGTTGTTCTCTGCAAATTTCCCAGTCTGACTGGCGCCAACCGCTAAGTTATTGCACCGGGCAAAAAGCGCCAATTTTACACTAAGCGGCAAAACCCTCTATATACAGGCACATTCGGTTAAAAGCCGGAAGCCGCTCCGCACACGTGTTCTCCCCGCATCCTCTCTCGAAACCCGAGACGTTTCTTAACGACCGGGGTCCGACTCTTCTCCACCGACCCCCCACGGCTGCTCGAAGCCGCCCGCGCGTGTTGGCGGAAGACGCCAGAAAATGCGGACACAAACATAGGCAGATAAAAAAACACTGCTGACGCAACTGTAGAAAGATAGACTTTTCCAAAACAAATCTCACTCATTTCTAACAAAAGCCTTCGTTAATTAACACCTCCCCACCAAAATGTTGCAAGTACATTTGCTGTTCGCGCAACATCTGTCCCCCGTTCCGAGACAGACGCGTAGCATACAAAAACAAAACAACAAAGGAGCTATACCCCCTGCCAAAAAAAAAACCTGTTGGGCGACAGAGAAAACCAACGAAAAAAACAAACCAACAAACACAGTCCGGTGAGACCCAAACCCGTACGTTCCAGGTTCCACCGTGACCAGTATTTATACAAAAACAGAAAAAAAAATTAACGTTGGCTACAGGCAAGGAAATCCAAACGCGAACAGAAAAAAAAAAAAGGTTTGCTATACCTAGCCTATACCCGAATCTGTTTCTCCATGCCTACGCGTCCCCGTCGTCTCAAATGTCTCGCGTGACCGAGGCAAAGGTCTTACCCCCGCAACCAGAGACGTGGAGGCCGGTTTGTTCCCGGAGCCCACGGCTCTATGCACTAATCCAGGGCAGTTCTGCTTAAGGTGCCCCAGTCTCCCACACGAAAAGCACCCTTGCGGTCGAGTTTTCTCAACCCTTCGCTGGTCGCCCCTAACTTCCACAGGCCCACCCCGCATGTTCACCTGGGGCCCCTCGGCCGCCCTCTGGGGCTCCCAGTTTCGATCGTGCTGACTCTCTTCGAATTTCTCTGCAAGTTCCGTTACTTCCTTTAGCCTTAGCCATTCTTTGTTTCATTCTAAAGTACGTAGGCCCGGACATCATCCGGCATGACATGCTTTAGCCGATCTGAAATGATCAGCTGCCTTACATCATCTTGTGTCGCTACTTCGCGGCTCTCCATGTAGTAGCCGAACATGGTATTCAGATTGGTAGAGAACTGTGCCCACAACTCCTCCTCTTGTTTGCGTGCGACATGAAACCTCCGCTTATACTCATCTGGAGTCATCCTGAGCTCGTCGAGGATAATGTCTAGTAGCTCCTTGTACTGCAATACCCGTCCCTCTACTCTGTCTGCCACAACGGCGCTCGCTTGCTCGTTTAGAAAAGGCAGAATGATTGCCCCGTGTAGGTCCTGTGGAACCTCACAACTCGCTAACATTGTTTCAGCGCCTTTAAACCATGCACGTACCAATGTGTCCGTCTCGGGCATTGGCGCCAGCACCGCATGTAGCTCCTTTGCATACCGTCCGACTCCCCCCGTACCCCGAGTGTTCTCTTCATGAGGCTGCCCCGTTATTTTGAGCTGCTCTAGTTTTGTTTTCTCGAGTTCTATCTTTAGTCTCATGAGTGTTATCTCAGCACTGAGGTCATTCGAATCTGTTGGCTGCCCTCCCTCACTGGTGCCAGCGTCTGGTTCCGAGTTGGCGCCACTGAGGGAAGGCCTTGGGGTCTTCGATCTAGTCTCTCTGGTCATAGTGAGCCTCGGAGAAAACAGGAATGGGACTTACCCACTGTTGTTGGGCAAAATCCAATTAGCTGCTCCTCCAGTCGCCGCCACCCACTTGCCGCAGTGTCCCCACTCGGCCTGGCGATCGTGCCCGTCGTCTGGAAGTCTCAGCTCGTTCGTCGTTCACCGAAAAGAAGAAAAAAAAACATCACAGAGAAAAAAAAAAACGGCCAATTTTCCGGCACCACAACGAAGTTCAGCACTGCAGCGACGATTTCGTCTCTCCTTTTGAGGCTTGCCCCGATATTCTGTCGCCGCTCGCTGAAGACGCTTCTCCGGTCCGCAGGTGAAGCCACAGGTCGTCCTGTTCTCCGACGTAGATGACGTTCAGGACCACCTGCCAGCTGCCACGACTCCTTTTGGGTAACTGTACCCCCCGGGCTTCTGACGTAGATATTGCCACGGTCCTCACTCCGGCAGGAGCGACCCTTGTCAGCAGTCCAGCAGACGAGACCCTTGTCTGCAGTCCAGCAGGCGCGACCTTTGTCCGCAATCCAGCACACAAAAAACTTGTCGCATAGAGCCCAGATACGCTCCGCTTGCCTCCGTTGATGCCGTTGTTTTCGCTCACCGCCCGTCGCAGGAGGTCAGCAGGATCCTGTCGATTCGCCAGTCAACTTTCCAGGGGCGAAGGGGCCCGGTCAGGATGGTGACGACCGATGATGGTGTTCGCCCGATGGTAGTCCCCCAGGAAATCGAATAAGAAAAAAAAAAAAAAAAAAAAAAAACTCAAAGTTGTTCGATTTCACTGGACACATTACGACGTCGGTAGGTTTACGGTGGCCACTTTTGCCACGTTTATTTGAAAACAAAACGACAAGTCAACGGTAATATACAAAACTTTCAAAATTAAAACCCCATACTTTAGTCCCCAGTCTCAAGAGCAGAATTCCCCGAAAATCCTAACGGCAGCCCTTTTCTAGCCTCGTAGAGGCCTCTTTTCTCTCCAGAGATGGACCAATCACTTCAAATTTCACCACTCCCACGTGGTACACTGTCGTCCAATGGTCGGCGACCTGTCA